TATGTATGTATGTATGCATATGCAACTAAACTACTGTGCCACACCATGCGGTAATAACAAAAGCTTTTGATTTTTGCCAAATTCACTCGTGTAAATAATAACTCAAATAGCTTGTGGCAATAAAAGCGTGCAACGGTTTCTTAAAATTACACTTGACTTGCCAAGGATTTTGTGTTAAAAAACTGAAATTCGGTTTGGTTATTTTGACTATGCATGTTATTTTAAATAATATTTAACTTATTTCGATAATTCTTTGTTTGGATTTTGCCTATTCTCAGCCGCACAAATCAATTTACCATTCTTTGATTAATGATTATAATTAAATTTAAACTTTAACTTTTCGTTGCTGGCAGCAGCACAAGTGGTGTTGTGTCGGTAACTATGTAGGTACACACCTAGAATTTGACGCTCGACATAACTGCGCTATAATTAACGGCTGCCAGCAGAAAAACACAGTTGCCAATTAAATAAATAAACCGGGTGCACATAATTAATAAATCACATGAAAATGCAATAAAATTAAAATTTGGAATGTGAATGTCAAAAAATAAAACAAAGTTATACATATGTGTATGTATATAGGGGACATAGAATGAATATGTGAGAAGAACATACAAAAGTATAGTAATTTTCATGATTCGCTGCGTAAACTCAAAAATTACAGGAATAAGATGAAATGTAATCTCAATTTTTTCGGTAGGATATATGAGAACCGATTCTAAACTAAATTTTTAAATTTCTGTCTATTCTTTTCATGAATTAAATTAGGTTTACGCTAGGTGGCGCTGCTGTGGAATAATTCATAATACTCCGTTTTAGCGGTACAGATTTGTATAGAAGCCCTTTTGTTCTGAAATATTATTTTCTAAACGTTTGTCTCTAGTTTTTTTCTTTAAAAGAGCTAGAAAATCACGTTCGCAAATCTTAACTTGCGATATCGAGAATTTTAATGTAGGTTTTTATTGCAATGGGTCAGAAAAAGTAGTAAACCTTGCCAGCTTTTACTAAACCTGTCTAATAAACAGATATTAGATACGAAAAAATTTTAACGAAAATTCAATATTTTCAAAAATTTTAATAAGCAAAAAAATAAAAATAAAAACAACAAAAAACGTTAACTTAACAAAAGATACCTTAAAAGAACTTGATTTTGATCAGTCAGTTTGTATGGCAGCTATATGCTATAGTAGTTTGATGCTAACAATTTCTGCGGAGATTTTATCGTTTCTTTAGACGAAAATCCATGCCAAATTTCGTGAAGGTGTCTCGTCAAATAAAAAAGTTCTCCATACAAGAATTTGATTGTTCAGTTTGTATGGTAGCTATATGGTATAGTGATCCTCTCGGACCCATTTTTTCAGATATTATACCTTCCCTTTGGAAAATAATCCATGCCAAATTGCCTGTATTGTTAAAAAAAAACGAAATGGCAGACTTTGAAAAAAAAAGTCGAATTGGGATCAAAATGATTTTTGGCTCGCCAAAATTACAATTCTCATCCAATCAAAAAAACTGGAAGGCCATTGCACGGAGAAATATATACAAAAATCAAAACGATCGGCTCATTTGTCTTCGGATTTCCACTTTACAACTGCAGCCACTTTGAAACAATTCGGTTGAGTTGATTGAACTGAGCGACTACTCTGAAATATTCATTTAAAATTTTTGCAAATTATTTTTAAAGGTATAAACTATCGAAATATGCAAAAACAAAAAAAAAAACTATTGTTTAGAGTTGTTTTCGAGCACATTAGGTGTGCCTTTTAAATTTAATAGTCGATATTATCAATAAACTGTGGTGTGTTGAGAAGGCCAAAAGCGCAACGCCTCTTGTTACTAAAGATATAGAATACTATAAAATTTTTAGAACCCCTAAGCAATGAAAAATATTAATTTAGATTTTCATGTAAACTCTTTTATAGTTTAGTTAATGAAAAATGGCCGTAGTTACCAAAAAAGCACTCAAAACAATAAATATTTCAAAAGCTAAGTGCACTGCGAATGGCAAAAATGTATTAAACTATGTTCACATTTGCATTTATGTATGCATATGTATATTAATAAATATACATATGCACATAAGTATGCGTGTGGGCCTGTAGCAAATGAAATCGAAAGTTGGAACCTTGATGAGAATTATGAGCGTATTGATTCGCCCGAAAACTAACAGCTACGAAAATATTAATTAACCATTGGCATAAGTGAGTGAATATGCATGTGATTAATGAAAACATTTTGAACTTATGTTTATTTTTCGTAAAAAAATTTGAATGTTAAACACTTGTTGAAATAAAACTAAAGAGAGAACAAATTTATATTTGCAACAAAGCCTATTAATCACTGCTTAATTTACAAACTCAAAACAGATCAAAAATATATTTGGAGCAGGGAACGCCCTAGACTTAGTGAGCTGCGGCAGTCTACAAATACAAATACAAAGGCAAGTCAATTATAGGTGACTCAGTGCGCGATTCGGTTGCAGATAATGCTTTTGGGATTTCGAATTTGATACCCCAATTTTTACTTCACTTATTTTAACTATTTGACTTATTGCCTTGATGAAAATGCCAAAAGTCAAAGAATTGCAGCGCAAACAAAAGCAATATTTTTTAAATTATTCTTTTATACTTATTTTTATTGTGCATACATATGTACATATATATTTACCATTTATGTTTCTATTCGGTATTTTGACCTTGCGCTGTAATGCGCACACCACCGCTTTGAGTGTAATTATAATTTTATGCAAAAAATTATGGTTTTTTCTTCGTAGTTAAAAATAAAGCACTAGTTAACAGATGTAATTATGTATATAAAAAATATGCGAATTTATGTGAAAATATAAATATATGCTCAAACAATATGCATATAAATATATTATATGAAAAATTAAATTAACGAGCTCATGAAGTTGTTGGCTGGGATAAATTACATGTTGCATGAAATATTAATGTACGGAATTTTTAAAACTTTCACTCGACTACAAGCGAATAACTGTAAAAATTCATTCTTTCAAGAAATCCAAATATGATGTCTAATTCACTGACAATATTATACCTATAATGGAATTGAATGGTTTTTCTAGTTCTGTTGAATAACAAAATCACTATAAGACTCAGAGGAAAACGGCATTGATAAGAAACTGTCTGCTCAAAACCGACTTTTATAAAGCAAACTCATAGCAGAACATTGGCTGAAGAAGCTACGGACTAATGTAGTTTATAAAACAATTTCAACAATAGGACTAATAAGAATTTATTTCATTTGCCCGACTTTTCCATTCGTATAATGATAAGCTTAACAAAAAACAACAAGTTGGATTTGGAAATATTCGGACACTCTTTAGATTTCATACCAATATATATATAATTTTTTTTCGAAATTTTCACAAAAGTGTGTCTGGCGATTTCTCCATGAAAAAATTTAACAACAAGTTTGATAGAAATTTTATGTTTCCATGAAATCGCGGTTACAGAATTGTTGAAAATGTTGCAGAAGTCTGCTTTATCACGAACATAGGTAGTTGAGTGACCCATATTACTCAGTGAAAGTCGAGAAGTCATCGAAAACTTGCCTCATGCGAGTCATCCATTCACCACTCTTAATGACTTAATCACGATAACATCGAAAAAGTTAAAGAAACACAAATGGAAAATCGTCATGTTGTTCATCAGAATGAAAGCAGAGGACCTCAACCCCTCTAATAAATCAACTCAACACATTTTGCTTAATTTTTTGGATATCAAGTGTATTAATACTAGACTTATACCAAAAGACCTGAATCTTTTGCAGAAACGACGTCGACGACGTTGCTTGACAAAGTAGTTCAGACACCTAAGTTCATCAAACAAATAATTACTGGTAACCAGGCGAGGATTTATGATATATGACGTCGAAACTGTCAAACAATCTAGCGAATGGCGCATTAAAAATGAGCCGAAACCGAAAAAAACAAAATTCGCTGAGGATACTGAAGGCCGAGGTAGAGAAAACTGGATTAAGCGTTAGAATGCTTGTATTAGCTCTGGAGCCTATTTTGAAGGCAATAATAAAGTTTTGTATTAAAACACATGAAAGCCTATTTTTAGCAGTTCGGGTCGAATTTGATCAGAAATAGTTTTAAAATGCATAAAGATAATTCTTCTATACGAAAACGGAACGGAGACCACAATGTCGAATCAAAAGTTTGACAGCAGCTTTAAATATTCGTAAATCGGTGCATACTCTGACGTTAAGTGAAAATTTCGTAAAGTGTTTTTTGTTTTTTTTTTTTGATAAAATAAAAATATTATATTTCTTATTATATTATTTTTTTATTTTCGATAACAAGTATACATAAAAATATGCTGAAAAGGATAATTAAAACGCCCTCATGATATCAAAAGCCCTCCCTGTGTTGCTATAAAAGTATAGAATAAGATGCAAGAAGTCATCAGAATCAAGCGTAAACTTCGATTTCAGGAAAACAAATTCACATAATATTATAAAAGGGAAATTCTTATTCAATAGCTATGTTAATTAATTTATTCTTTCAGTTTTAAAAAGTAATCAAGATAAAAAAAATAAATAAAATAAAATTTTTAGTTATCCTGGAATATTTTTTTTACTTTTCTTTTACTTAAATTTAGCTAACGATGGGGTTATATTGGAAAGAGTTTTATATTTAATACAGTTTACCAACATTTATCAGTAAAACTGTAAATTTGTTAGATTAACAACAACAGTTAATACTATAAAGTTCTATAACAACAAAAAACTAATTTTAAATGCTTCGCCGTTTTTAGTTCTACTTCTCTATTTTACAAATAAGCTCAGAGTAATAATTACATTCCCCCCAGACTCAACTGACAAATTGCCAACAAAACCAAAAAAAAAAAATCAATTTAATATATTACAGCAAAAAGTTAAACAGAAATAGATAAATGTTTCTGCGTTTTCTTTGTGCAGCTCCATATTGCAAGTAGTGTAACGAAAGACTTAAGCAACAAACTTGAACTCACCTGCACTTTACTGCTCGATGCTGCTTATTGCATGCACTAACTGTTGTTCTCTATTTTTTTTTTTGGTTTTTTTTTTGTTTTTGTTATTTAATTTTATTGCTGTTTTTGTTTTGCTGCCAAAAAACTCAAACTACTGCTGGCACAGCACCTGCATGCAGCACAGCAGCAGAAGTGCCGCAGAAAAAGTCAAGACAAAACAACAAAAACAAAGGAAAAGCAAGCAGAAAACACAAACGAAGCGATGATCATTGAGTGAAGAAGGCACGTGCGCGCGATCAACTGAAGCAGTTTCGTAGTAGCCGCAGCGGCGACGGCAAGAGTGCGAACGATCAATGGGGGCACGTGAGTCAATGTTGTGTTTATCTTTTTCGGCGTTTTTGTTGTTATTATTATTTGCTTTTCTTTTTTGTTTATTATGTTTTTATTTTTTTGTTTTGTTAAGTTTTTGTGTGATTTTATTTTGTTTCTTTCACAAATTTCGCTTTCAATTGTTGTCACACATTAAAAAAATTATAATATATTATTATTATATTATAAATTTTGATAATTTTTCGGCAATTTGTTTTTAATTTTCGCAAACTATGCTATTATTTTCGCACTTGTAAATTATAATAATTAGATTATTTTTAGTTTTTTTTTAGAAAATTTGTGTTTTTTACTAGTTATTTTTATTGCCTTTTGTTTTGTTTTTGTTTACTTTTTTTGTTTTTTTATTTATGTTTTTCTTCTTTCATTATGACATTCTGCTCACACTTTTGATTTAGCCAATGCCATGCTTTCATGTGACAAAGTGTCAATCTTAGCTTAGCTTAGTCTTTGCAAGCTCTCACTATTGTTTTTGTTGTTAGTTTGTCAAAAACATTTGCTACGTGTTCACAGCTGTTTTTGGCGCCCTTTTTTATTTACACAAATGGAATTTTACAATTTGCACCTTTTTATTTTTGTAAAATTATTTGTTAATATTTTTGTTGTATGTTGTTGGTGTTTCTATACCTCAATAATGATTTCGCGTAAAGCGCAGCTAATGGAGAAGTGCCAGTTAGAAATTATAAAAAGAAAAGATAAATCTAAATAATTATATGGAAGAGAGCGAGAGCGTATAATCAAAGAAAAGCGCACCAAAAATTAGTATAGAGCTCGAACAAACAGATTTCTACTATCTGCTGTTATTATTTTCTACAAATGTCACTTATTTAACGGAACTAATTTCTATATACCTCTAAGTTTTACTTTATAAATTTTTTTTTAGGTTTTTCGTTTAGCATTTTTCACAGTTTATTTGATAATTTTGGTTCAGCTGAACTTAAGCGAAAGAAATAAATATAATAGATTTTTAAAATGTATTTTTCTTGATTTTTACATACATTCGTTTCACTTAGTTTTGCTCTTTTTCACTTTTTTTCAGTCAGCTTATTTGTTACTTTTACGATAAATGTTCACGTATTCTGTTTTTAATACTTTCGCAGCTCTTAATTTACCTCGTCTTGATTGTTTCAACACACTGCGATAATCTGCAATACCGTTAAGTTTTACACCAAGGCGCATGCGCCAATTTTGTTGTTGCCTATATATTTTTTTTTTTCGTTTGCTGCTGTTACTGTTGCTAATGTCTATGATGACAGCATCATTGTTTTTTGTAATCGGTCGTTTTCTATTTTTTGTTTTTTTATTTCTTACACTTTTTCATAATTTAGTTTCAACTTTGTTGCAAAGGCCTATTTTTTCATTTAGTTTTAGTTTATTTAATATTTTTTGTGATAAATTGACTTCAACTCTTCAAAGTTTGACTTTCTACGGAAAATGCTTGAAATTTGAAATTTTATTAATTTTCTTTACTTATTTTTTGCAAATTTCAAGCCTAAATCAAACAGGCATTTAATATATTTACATAACAGCAACAACAAAATTATAAAATATTGGAACCTTTTACAGCGGTGAAAATTGCTAAATATTTGTAAGTGAATTATATTTGTTTAATATGATAATATCGTTGGTCAAATAGTTTGATTAATTTGGAATTCAATATCTGAATCAATTTTCACGTAAGAAAGCGTACAAGGCCTTATTTGATAGAACTTAATACATATCCTAGAAATGAAGTACTATGTTAAGTGCTTTTCCCACTGCGACTATTAATTTCTAAAAGTGGCTTTTCATATAATATATATATTTATACTGAGGTTATGGCAAAAATTTTCTATAAAAAAACTGAATATTCTTGCCAGGAAAATGTCTTTATCAAGGGGCAAATAAGTAGACCACCTAAAAACAGCGATTTTTGGCAGTTTTTTATATAGAAAGCTACTGTATACAAATTTTGAGGATATATTTATGCATAGTTAATGAATATACTAACATTTCAAAAAATATATATTTATACTAATTTTATTTAAGTTATTAGCTTCTTCCAAACTATTAAAAAAATGTCATCCACCGTTGCTGATTGCGGTTTTCACCATAGCTTAGTAAAGATAAATAAAATTATTAATCTGTAAGATGTTGCATAGACGATGACCCACGCTTGTTAATAAATTTAATTTAACAAAATAGCAGACTTTGACAAAAAATGTCGCTTAAAAACGTGATGATTTTTGCCTAGCCAAGATTATATTTTTCATACAATCGAATAACTGGAAAGTCATTGTACAGAGAAACATTTAAAAAAAACGGGAAGCAATTTGAAGCGATTGTAAGATTTGTCTTCTGGTTACAACTGTAGCCAATTTGAAAACTTTAATTTCGAGAAAAATTCAGAAAACTCCAAAAATATTTAAAATCTTAATTTAAAATTTTCTATGTTATTTTTAAAGGTACAGATTATAGAAATTTGAAAAGAAGACAAAAAATTAATTTTTCAAAATTTCACAAAAGGTAAGTCCCTTAGATGATAAAACTGATATAAAATACGCTTATGTGCTGGTCCGCTACACATAATAATATTTTTATAAGCTTATTAAATTTTATATATATTTTTTTTATTTTACAAAAATAGACGTGAACAGAAATTCAGAAATGAAATACCGTGAAAATTAAGTCAGTATTTTAAAATGTTGCAGTAATTTTAAAAGGAAAAAAAGTTCTTTAGCATTCCTGAAGTAAAATTAACTTTTTACTTCTTTTACCACAGAAGGGTATTGCTTAAGGTTACCTGACATTAAATAATAAACCGATTGTCACGAAAAAGGCAAAGAAACTTTGATGCTACTAGAGATAATCAAGATAACAACACCACCACCAACAATATATACGAGTTTTCGACATTGAAGCTGTTTACTTTCATTTTCTGCCATGAGCAGTTTTGCTTTCCAGAAACCCAGAACGCGAAATGTATTTACTTAAAATTCCAATTAGCATGACAAACTTTCTCAGTATTTTGAAGTTGTTGGCGAAACACCAAAATACAGTGTTGCAAAAAAGCAAAAATAAAAAAAATAAAAACAAACAAGAAATTGTCGCTAATTGAGAAAGTCGTAGAGTTTAAGCGCTGAAAGGTCTAATTGCTAAATAAATATTTGTGTTGTTGCTGTTAGAAATTGCTGAAATTCGTTGTTTTCCTTTGCTTTGTTTTATTCTTTTTTGTTGCATAAAATCGTGAGAATAATATCTAACATATGAAATGTTAATTCTCATTGAAGAATGCTGCCAACAGTTAAGCTCGAGTATTTGAAAAACAGTCCATAAAATTTTTAAATCAAAATTTTAAGAACACTAAGCGAATTTTATTTTAAGAATTTTCAATATACTTTTTTTAATTTTTTTTTTACAACGTTTACGTACTATTTGATATTTGCTCTTAAATTTTTGTAAAATATTTTACTTTTATTTTTTTTACCACAATCTCACACATTTAACACACGAAACAACACCATCGTCTTCATATTGTCATAGAAAAATCAGCTGTTTAAACAAATTTCTTCTTTCAATTCAATCGCGTAAAGTTCGAAAAATATTTAGACTACATTTATAGTGTCTTAATCTAAATATTGCACAGTGGCTGGCGTGCTGCACTCAATGGTAGTAGTTCGTTATTTATTTTTTTTTTTTTGTTGTTACTAAATTAAGTCAGCATTCGAATTATTTGACTTAGACACTGGCAAGCGTAGAACATTGCGCTAGTGCTGACAGACAATTGTTTACTGGCGTTGATAAGTCACAGCGAGGGCGGTATTAACTTGAAAATGCCAAATTTGTGCAGCCACTTCGCTGTTAGTCTACCGAAATTGAGAGCGAGAGCCAGAGCGGGAGCACACCAAAAGTGGCGCTATCTGCCAAATGAATGTGGAGAGCACAAGCTGAGACGCCGCTTACAAGCTGAGTTTAATTAGTTCAGTGAGAGCTTCGAGTGCAAGCATTAGCAGGTGATCAATAAACGCTCTCAAGTTCTTTAAGCACTCTGCAATTTATTTGAGAAAAACCAGTTGGCAATAGCAAAAACAATAACCACTCCGCTTAAGTGCAATGTAGCAATGTTAATTCTGCAAATGTGTAACACTAACCAAAATGTGCAACAGCAACAGCAAAAACAACCACAAAGAGTAATAGCAACAATGTAAGCATATTGAAGCAAAAAATTACAACAATTGAACACTGGCTGATAGGTGATCGGTAATGGTTGCAATTGCGACAATTGTGAGCGCATGAACTGTCACGAGACAGTGAAGTACAGTATGATGTCCTGACTTAAAAAAGAAAATTTATGGAAACTTTACGACAATTGTCGACATATAATCCCTTATTTTAATTACAGTTATACATACATACCTATATATTTTGCGTACATAATGTAAAATATCAGATTTTGGTCCCCAAGAAAGTCACTCCAAATTGATATTGGGGTTCATGTTCCCCACGTCATTTGGCGGAACGTTTGATTCCCCTACACCAACAACAATTTTGGATTTGGTGGGACTACAACTTGAGGTTCAACTTTAATCCAATCCAGAGGTTGGGATATAATATGGCTGAATTTATGGCATGTTTACTAGGTCTCAAAGATGTGTCACCACTTAATTGAGCTTAAAACCTGTATATATTTATATAGGGTCCCTCTTAATGGCCTTTGCTATAATAATGTGTTACTGTTTACCTTTAACCATAGTATCCTTACTTTGAAAGAATAATTATATCTCCTATTAAACTTAACACTCCTACCCTGACTTAACATAAACTAACCTAATCTACACCAATTAAACTAACTAAAACTACTCTCCAAACGCAATCTAACTAATCCTAATCAAATTAACCTAAGCTAATATGACTTACCCGAACTAAATAACAACCCAACTTCATAGGCAAACGAAACCCGAACTAACCTAAACTAGCTTATGGGGTAATATTTACTTTCAAAATATCGAGTTTTTCGTAAATATAAAATATTTGAAAATACAATCCTAATATTTGAAGCTGCTGCGGCAAATAGTTTCAGAATCGTGAGGAAAGTTTTTCTGGAATAGTTGTACTAAACGACTTAAAATTTTCATACCATCTTTTAGATATATTTGTCAGATAATAATCGAAGGAATAAGATTTTTGATAATTTTGATTTTTTAAGCCACTCTGAAGTGTAAATTTTTTCACCAAACACGACGTTTTTTTTTTGGGTAGCCGCTATTTTGACAAAAATCGAAATTTTTACTAAGTAGTCCTTGCCCAATACCTGTAATCATTTATTGTATTAATAATTACTTTTGGTTTGGTTTTTGGATTATAGATAATTGCAAGCAGAAAAATCGTCCTCATACCCAGATACCTTTTTTCGGAGGTCCTCCTGGAGATCGGCTACAGGATCGAGAGAATCCAAAATTTTTCAAAATTAATCACCGATTGTTAAAGTACATTAAATTTTATAAATGCACATGTTTTTTATTTAATTTTTTTATAGCTTAATCTAACCAAAATAAAACTCAGCGACCTAACCTCAACTAGCCAAAACAAATGCCTTTAACCCCTACAAATAATTCTAAGCAGAATTTTTCTAGTCCTGGCTTAAAACCATCATTTATGAGATTTATATTCATTTGACCACTGTGCACTGTGAAAAACCATGAAGCCATAAAGTCACAATAAGCCGAAACCAAAATAATATAACCAATAAAAAGAGAGCGGCTAACAAGCGCACATAGTTAATGACGTAATACACAACCGTCAACAAGTAAAGCTTCAGCGGTTCCAATTGCAATAAACTGCTTCAGCAGCTAGTCAGCCATGAACATTACACTCAGCGCAATGCAAGAGAGAATTTATGATCAGTAGTGCAGTGAGGTGCGCCGGAAGCATGTAAACGACGTCACTGTTTTGACAACAATATGGAGCAATTGAGCGCGCACAACAAAGCCGCTGAGCAATGAAAAATCGAAAGGAAAATAATGAGAGCGAAGTAGAAAAGCACTCCGAGAGCAATGAAATGCAGAGAGCATGCTCAACCACTACAAATGCGCCAACGCATAACTTATTTTTTCATAACTGACAGTTTTGAAAGCGCTGTACTGCTTATTATACACGCTGCTGATGCATCAGTTAAATTCATTCACAAATTTTACGCTTTACTGACTGCTTTGTTGCTCTTCCTTACCATGCGATGCGATGCTTATCAATGAAGTGTGAGTTCATTTGTTAGCCGAAAGCATAAATGTTTACATAAATTTACAAAAGAATAAATAGTTCTCGCTAGAGGTTGGCACACATACATGCATATGTACCTAGACAAATGTATACATATATAGGTTAGACATAGTGACGTTCTAAGGTTCTAAGCTTTTGAGCGTGGAGGTCATTTCCGGTCCAAAAACTATTTCATTTTCTCACAAAATTATTTTGTATTTTAATTTTTACGCAGAAGCAAGTGCATAACGGATAAGATTTATTGAGGTCAAGAGGCGTTAATTTTGGATTATATTTTATATTACTTATAAATTTCATCTTATTTACTTATTGTTTTGTTATATTTTTGATTAATTTCAAATTAATTAATATGTTACTGCTGGAAAAATGTTAATTGCCATTGGATATTATATTTTTCTCACTTTATTATGGAACTGGTTTTGAAAATTTTTCTGCACTATACCAATGTAAAGGAGAGTCGGGGTTAAAGAGGGTTAATTAATAATAGTAAAACGATTGGATTTGGGCTGTGAATATTTCGTGACAGGTACATTACGAAATTTGTATTCTTATCGGGCTTACGAAGTTTGAAAAGTGGCTGTTGTGTGTATATTTGTGAGTGTAGTATACAAAAGTATATTTGGTCATACAAGAATTTTAAAAGCGCAATGATTACTTTAAGTGAATATGGGTTTTGTACAAAATATATGAAAATCGTTGTGTATTGGTTTGTTATAATTTATTATTGTTGTTATGAGATTTATTTACAATTTCAGAGTCATTGGTTGGATTGAAATCCGGATACGTTCCGGTAACGCAGAACAGATATTCGTGAAAATTATGATATTTCTGAGCCTGTTTTGTTAGTGTAAAGCATTGACTTTTTTTCTATTGTGAGTACATAATCAATTTTTTTGGAAATTTATTTAAATTAATTTAATTTTTTAATTGTAAGAATTTAATATTAAATATAATACATTTGATTGATTGGAAGGTTAAACATAAATGAAAAATGCTTCGTTTCTAAAATTTGTTCAAGAAAAAGTATGAAATTTTAATTAGTTAAAACAAAATGATCAAATATTAATAAAAAAAAATGTATTTTATTTTATTTTTAATTTATTTAAGATACAAAAATATGCCTTTATTCTCTTTTCTACATAGTACTGACAAATATTTGTTTAAAGGGTATATACAATATAATACAATATAGACTATATATATATTAAAAAAATTCCGGTTTACGGACAAATTTTTGCAAGTGTTCTACTTCAATGTTACTTATACGCACAGTATCACACTTTTACTAATCAGTCTTTATTCTTAATATGTTTATTAACTACAGTCCAGATATAAGCTAAGGATTCTCACCTTTTGTTTCAAAAACTCTGGATTATTCATAAGATTCGGCAGCGAACCAATTTTGAAGAGCAATAATAAAGCCAGAGAATACAAATACGTTATGTAATACAAAATAAGGCATCTACAATTTTAGGACTTGCACCAACGAGAAAGCAAACCTAACGAATGAAAGAAAAGAGCAGAACCACTTAATATATATACGTCTGTGTTAAGTCATGTCCGAAGCTCGGATACAAGTAACAAGCTCTATGAACTAATGCTACGATGTATATTTGCTTTATAGAAAATTTTATATATAGAATTAAGTAAATATTATGTTTTTAGCATTATTAAATTGTTATGAAAATTGTTCACGAAAATATATTATCATAAAAGAACTTTAAATTAAAAAAAAATTTATAAAATGTTACAAAACTGACCGTATGATGAACTGAGCCGTAACGGACGTATCGGGGTTTTTTTTACTACTATTTGCGTCGACTAACTTAATAGAGGAAAATCATTAAAAGTAAGTACTATCCCATCTGAAACACTACTACTACAAACACATTCACACATTCAAATTTGAACCAATAAAAACATGCCAACGATTAATACAATTTTCTATTGTTAAAGCCTCGGCTGGGATGACCTTCATTGCCGTCAGGAAATTTTGCTTTTTTCGGTTACGACTCATTGTTGGAGCGCCATGATTTTTGGACAATTTCAAAGTCATATTTAGAAAAAACACGCCTCGTCAGCAGTAAAGCAGTATTTGATGAATGTGTGAATGTCGTTTTTCCAAAATTCAGGTGTTTTGGTACGAGTCTACCCATAACATACCCAAAATATTAACTAAATTGTGTTGAGTCGATCCATAAAAGATATTGAGATCCTCTGATATTTCTTTGACAACGAAAAACACGCCGACTTTCAAGCACTGTTTCTTTAACTTTTTCGACGTCATGATCATTAACAGAGGTGGTTGGACGACTCGCATGAGGCAAGTTTTCGATGACTTCACGACCTTCTCTAAATGTTTTTGTCGGTCAAATACTTATGTTCGTTATAATGTAGACTCTCCAAAATTCATCTGCAACATTTCAGGAATTCCGTAGCCATAATTCCTTTGGAACCACAAAATTTCAAACAAAATCGTTGTTAAATTTTTATTTTTCATGGTAAAAATCACCCCACAAACCTTTTGCGTCGTAAACAAACAGTAGCTAAGATACCATTAATTGATATATGGAGATCAACCGACACACAAACATAAAAAGTTGATACCAATCTAGGAAAACATTCTTTTAATTTTCTCATCAATTCGGTTTGCTCTCGCAGTT